TTTGAGTCAGCATGGAGTTCTCCATCTATGCGTCCATCCAGTAGGCTTCATTTGGAGTAGTGTTAAGATTGTGGCCTCAGGAATGTGTGTGTGTGTGATTGTGTGTGTGCATGCACACCCACGGGAGATTGGGGCCAAGTAGCTTCTCAGCAACATGGGCCCTTCTTATGGTCCACCTCCTCCAGTGCTGACACCCGCCACTCACCTCCCCCAGCTGAAGGCTCTCTCCAAGGAGCTGTTCTGCGGCAGCGGCTCCCCAGCAAAGCTGAGCAGCTGGATGCGGTAGCCCCGCGGGTGACCCCACTTGTTGCTGTGGTTGCTGGCCAGGTACACGTAGTGGGGGAGGGCGCCTCCCAGGGGGAAGGCGGCCTGCTCCTCGGTCTCCAGCAGCTTCCGGGTCACCTGCAGCCTCTGCATCTGGTGCTCGGGGCTCCAGGGTACCGCCGTGGGGACATAGGTCATGTCCTCAGCCCAGACCCAGTTCTCCAGTCCTGCGGGGCGGGCGGGGGGTGGGGTGGGGTGGAGGCAGGTGGGGGGAGGGAGGGCTGGTAATGCAGCTGCCCTGTCCCCTCTGGACTCTGTCCCTGCCCCGCCACTCACCGCTTCAGAGTGGGGCCAAGGAGAAACCCAGAATGGAGTGTGTCCCTGCTTCCCTTCCCTCCACCCAAGATAGCCCTGACCCAGAGATTTGGAGAAGGTCTTTCTGCCTAATGTCATCTTTGGTAATAATGCTGGATGCCTTGTGACTGGGCCTCCACTGACGTCCTCCCTTTGAGGGCCTGCAAGGGAGGATGGTTGACCTGAAGTTGGAGCAGCCTAGCAGGCAATGTGCAGTCAGATTCCTTCTGACCCTATGCCTCATGTGTGAAGCCCTATAGCGTCACCAGAACTGCCTTATCATGAACATAGGAACAGTGGTTGCTCACCTTCACTCCTCCTCAAGGAGCTCTGCACCGCAGGGCACTGAGGCTTTACTTGCACTGCAGCCTTATAAAGGAGGAACTACACCTGTGCCCATTGAGAATTTAAGTTTAGGCTTAATTTAAGGCTTAGAGAATTTAAGTAACGTGCTCTGGCTTGTCACCAAGGGTATGTGGTTACCATGACGGTGGTGCTGGCGACCCCAGTCTTACTCTGGGGTCTGCACTGCCCACACAGCGGCACACACAGGAGAGCCACATTGAGGGGGCACACCCCATGCAGACAGCAGTGGTGCAGGCCAGAGGGAAGGAAAATCGGAGCCAGGGCCCGATGCTGCCGGAGCTTCGTGGTGCTTCCTATCATCTGGGGTTTGGCAAGGAATTAAGAACAGGGCCAAAGGCACGGTCTGTTCCTTGAACTCTGGGAATTTTGAATGATTTTTATCAGAATCTCACTAGGTACCCTATTAGGAGTCAACTTAAGGGATCTGAGACCAAAGAGCAATAAACGAACACAAGCCAAAGCAGAGAGCAGAGACTGATGAAGCAGACTCCCGCTTTCCTTTTGTGGATTCACTGACCCTCCGTCCACACCCCAGGGTTTCTACCCATAGGTGACAATTAAAGGCCAACAGTTCTTTCCGGAACATCCACACAGTGGGCTCATATGGACAACAATGACAGCAACAATGGCTAATACTTCTCACTACTTGTCAGGCACGGTTCAAAGAGTTTGAAGAGACGTCCTCACTTAGGTACAGAGATAAAGAGAGATGTGTGTGTCAGGTGGAATACATATGCATCTTTTCTAGTTAAGTCCAATGAGTGAGCCTAAAAGCAATGATGTCCCATTGCTAATGAGCACTCCTGGTACCCTGGGCTTGGTTTCTAAAGAGTATCCTCCAGTAAAAAGGAACCAGAGCTCCTTGGAGAGGGGGTTGGGTTCCAGGGCTGGAGCAGGGAAAATACAAGATCAAATTGGAATATCCTGGGGCGCCTGGGTGGCTCAGTCAGTTAGGCATCTGTCTTTGGCTCAGGTCATGATCTCAGGGTCCTGGAATTGAGCCCTGCATCGGGCTCCCTGCTCAGCGGGGATTCTGCTTCTCCCTCTCCTTCTGCCTCTCCCCCTGCTTGTGCTCTGTCTCTCTCTCTCAGATGAATAAAAAAAAATTGGAACATCCTGTGGTGCCAAAAAGAAAGAAGCACTCCAAAAAGGATGGAGGCATATCGAAAGGACACAAGAACCAACTGGAAGCATCTCCCAATGACCAATATTGGAACAGTGCAAGGAACAGAATAAATAACACTGCTGGGTTGTAAACCTTAAGATAAAATAAATATCCATGAATCAATGCAGTTATGAATAATTACATGCATAAATCAATGTAAAAGGAGGATAACTTTTCCTTTGGAGAATTCTAATTAATCAATGTATAAAGAATAAAGAAAAAAATTGAGATGACCAGTAGGGAAATATTGCAGTAATAATTCTTGCAAAAAAAAAAAAAGTCTACCAACAGATGCTAAAAATCAGTGGGCAAGAATTTAAGAAGAAAAGAAATAGGATATTTGCATAGCATCACAGTAATTGCCCCAAGATATTGATTAACTGCAAATGGAAAAATGCTAACTTTTTAAAAAAGATTTTATTTACTTATTTATTTATTTATTTATTTATTTATTTATTTGACAGAGAGAGAGAGAGAGAGCACAGCAGGGGGAACTGACAGACAGAGGGAGAGGGAGAAGCAGGCTTCCTGCTGAGCAGAGAGCCCAAAGTGGGGCTTGATCCCAGAACCCTGGGCTCATGACCCAAGCTGAAGACAGACACTTAACTGACTGAGCCACCCAGGTGCCCTGGAAAAGTAGTAACTTGTGCAATGGAGAAAGCCAGAAGACACCATCTTAACCAAGTTCTTGAGGTCAACATCTCTGGTAATAAGACATCTCAACCTCATGTACCCCTTGATATTATGCACTGTGAAGGGCATAATGTCATTTCTCTGGTTTTCCAAAAAAAAGGAAGTACAATCTCAATCTTAGCATGAGAAAATAACAGAGAAATCAGATTTGAAAGATGCTGTATAAAATAATGACCCAAATCTTCCTTAGTGTCAAGGTCATGAAAGACAAGAAAAGCCTAAGGAGCTGTCATAGATTGGAGGAAACTAAGAAGAAAAGTTACCTAAATGCAGTGTGGGATCCTGGATTAGATCCTGGAACAGAAAAAGAAAGTTAATGAAAGAACTAATGAAACTCTAATAAGGTCTGTAGTTTAGTTAATAGTACTGTAATAATGTTAATCTCCTGGTTTTGATTGCCATACTGTGGTTGTGTAAGATGTTAACATTAGGGGGAACTGGGTGAAGGGTATATGGGAACTGGACAACGTTTGCAACTTTTCTTAAGTCTAAAATTATTTCAAAAGAGAAAGCGTTTTTGGGGCACCAGACTGGCTCAGTCGGAAAAGCAAGCAAATCTCAATCTTGGGGTTGTGAGTTCGAGTCCCATGCTGGGTGTAGAGATTATTGAAAGAAAGAAAGATTTTTTTTTTTTTTAAAGAGAAAGCATCTTAAAGTACTCATCATTAATCCTCAAATAGTCTTACTAAGAATGCACTGTTACACCATTTTTACACTTGGGTAAAGTGAGGCACAGAGCAGTTAAACATAAAAGTGTTTCTATCATACACATTTTTCAAGGCACTCCACATGTTCTCCACTCCTCTGTTAGAATGTAAGCCTCTTGAGAGTAGGGATGTTGTTTCTTTTGTTAAATTGCATTAATGCAGTGATTGGCACAAATATGCATTCATGGGGAGCCTGGGTGGCCAGTCAGTTAGGCGTCCGACTCTTGATTTCAGTTTAGGTCATGATCTCAGAGTCATGAGACGGAGCTCCACATTGGGCTCCGTTCCTGGTGTAGAACCGGCATAAGATTCTCTCTCTTTCCCTCTGCCCCTCCCCCTGCTCCCTCTCTCTAAAAAAGAGAAAACGGATTTAGTAACTGTTGCTTGCATGAATGATATGCAGTTATCTGAAAAAACAGAGGTGGCAAAATATATGTATGTTATGAATCAAATTTGGTAATAAAAATTTGAAATATTTATATCAGTATGTCATATTTATAGATGGTATACAATATAACAAATGTTATAATTTATTAAATATTGCAGATGCCATATTTTAAAATATGGAAGAATTTTATTTTTAAGTATGCAAGAATAACCGATCTGCTAAGGATGAAAATCTCTGTGGAATCCGACTTTCACCTTTACTTCATATGTTTTTATATTTTTAATGTTTCAGTGACAGTTCTTAAAGCTAGGCATGGAGACCTCAGCCCCCTCTGCGGGAATCCTTGCTTCCCCAGGGATGTCTTACCTCCTACATCCAGATCCACCTTGAAGTGGGCGCTGTGGGTGTGCACGGTGCCCAGCGTGTGCTCCCCAACCTGGTTCCCGTACCTTCGGGCGGCACCAAAGAGGAATGCTGAGCTGATGTAGCCGGTGGCGTGGAATCGGACTTCTATGGCCCCACTGGAATGGAAGACCATATCCCACAGGTAGTCATAATTGAGCAAGGTCGACACAGATCTGACCACCAGCACTGTCTCTACAAGGCCCCCAAAATAATGGGAGTAGAAATTTGAGTGGTGTCGCCTCAGGGGGAGGCCCTGGTTCTGTTCGAACACACAAATGGCATCACGTATTGTCTTGGGGGTGTGGGATTCCAGAAGGAAGTGCCAGTCCACGTAGGTGGCCAGGTAGGGGCAGTCCACCCCCCGGGTCAGGGGAGTGGAGTACTTGCCCATGCCAAAGCTGCCATCCATATAGCGGGTCAGCATTGCTGCAGGGGAATTTCCACCATAGACGACCAAGGCCTCCTGGAAGCTGATCTCATAAGCTAGTCGTTCTCCCCGGAAGCGGATGTCAAAGATCCTGGGGCCACTGAAAGCTCCAAGGCCAAAGGAGAAAGTCCACCACGAGGAGGTCACTCGACTCCCCTGGACACTGAAGCGGGGGCCCTGGGGATGGACCTGCAGAGGAGGAGCCGGACCGGGGGCCCCTGGGACTTGAGGGACCAGGGCCCACCTGTGCCATTGTCTGGGATCAGCACCACGTTCACCAGGCCAGCCTCAAACTGGTCCTCCAGCTGGGCCAAACTCTCGTAGTAGCGGCCTTGAAAGAACACCTTCTGGATGGCCCAGCGGGCAGGGTCCAGAGCCTTGTGGTCTACCAGCAACTCCAACCCCACGGGGTGCAGGAAGAACCCAGCCCCTGAGACGTTGTAGTAGAGGCCAAACCAGGCGGCCCGGTCCCCTGACTGCAAGCCTCGGGGGGCCGTGGGCATCGTCACCAGGTTCTGTCCTTGGCGCTTATAGAAGCAGCAGTGGTGCAGGAGCCCAGCAGCCTGGGGCAGCTCTCTGTCGAAGATCAGCTGGTTTATGTCCAGGTACTCTCGCATCAGCACGGGGCGGCGGTGGTAGGGCAGGGGGCCCCCGTGACGCTCCACCGTCACATCCCGCAGGTAGGAGGGCCGGGGCAGTGGCCCCACCACCAGCTCACTCACGTTGGGCTGGGGTTGTCCGCCAAAGAAGACGATGGCCAGTGCCTCCCGGGCAGGTGGGGGGCTCCCCCTGTCCAGGTGGGCCAGGGCTGCGGCCTTGGGGGGCAGGTGCAGCTCCACCGAGAAGACGCAGTTGTCCGAGGGGCGGGCCTGGGCTGCATCCACCAGGCCTGGCCCTAGCTGCCGGGTCAGGAAGCTCATCACGGCCGTCAGCTCCTCTCGGCTCAGGTCTGCAAACGGCTGGCTCTGGCTGGGGTGTGTCCCGGGCTGGGCACTGGGGGACACGGAGGGGCAGCGGGGAGGCTGGCCGGGTTTACATTCCCTCTCCACTCCTTTCTCACTCCCGCCATCACCCATGGCCGTCACCAGCACACTACACAGGGACAAAATAATGAAGATAGCCATAGTTAAATCTCCTGGATGGTCCTTAGGCTCCTGAATCATTATGCAGAATGGGAAATAGAAAGATAAAAGACAGACAGGACCTGGGTGCAAGACGTCTCTTTGAGTCTCTGGAGTTTCCTGCTCTCTGAGAGGTGCCGCTGGGCAAGAGGCATGATGGGCACATTGAAGGTAAGCAGCCAAGGGCAGATGGTTGGGCGGGGGTGGGGGTGGAGCTGGAGGGGTCAGGGGTCAGGCCAAACTCAGGAGGTGGGGCTGAAGTAGGAACCTGGACTTTAAGTGGCCCATGTAATCCTCTGCCCTCTTGTTCCAAATCAAACACTCAGGGTCAGGGTTGGGGAACCAAGTTGGAGGAAGGGTAGGTTTTGGAAATAACACAGCTGGAGGGAGGCAAGAGGAAGAAGGAACTGGGACAGAAAGGGACTGTCCGTGGGTTCTTCCTCCACCCTCCAGATGGAACCTTTTTCTTGGCTGCGAGGCCGCAAGCGAAACTCACCTGCCCACACCTCTCCAGTGGGGTCCCCCCCCTTCCCTCCAGGCTCTGCTTCTCATCACTCTCTCCGACTCCTCACCAGCCATCAGCCAGAGCCCTGTCGGCGGGCTCCAGCTTGGAGAGTAATGCTGAGAGCACAAAGCACCTGGGCGGAGTTGGGAGGCTGAAGGGCTGAGCCAGATCTACAGTGGGGAGGCTCTGAGCACCCTAGATCACTGGAGGGGAGTAGACGGGGTGGGGAGCCAGTCAGAAATTGGGGCGGTGGGGGGCAGGTGCAGAGTGTAACAGAAATCCCTTGTCTCCCCTTTAAGCAGGACTGATGGGCCAGGTCTGAGGTCAGGGGGCTTGGAAAACTGGCTGTGGAATTAACTTAGCAGCCCACAGCCCTCAACTCCAGGAAACCCTCCACTGAAATGTTGCAGAAGCAGAGAGCGAAGCCACCTCCCATTCTCCGCCAGGTGACCTGTAAGAGGCCACCCTCATCTGGACGGCCAGGTCCTGAGGGGAATAAGGAGAGACTGAGGGTTCCACGGAGGGGACATGCTTCCCTCGTGAGCCTGGGGGAGAATCCTTTCCAACGTGGACCTGCCCAGGAAGATTTGCCTGGGAAGACGTTAGTTGGACCTTGCAGGCAGAATGCGTTCGTGGGACAGAAAGAGGAAAGACATGACGGCCAAAGGAAACAGAAGGTGCAAAGGTAAAGAAACTCAAAACAGCCCAACATGGGCAGGAAACAGCCAAAAGGTTGGTGTATTGGGTGTGAGGTGGGGACAAAATGGGGGGCAGAAGAGGTAGGATCAGGAAGTTTTGTGCGGTACCCGTTTCAAGCAAGGTCGTAATTGCGGGTAGGCAGTGAGGCGTCTCAGAACCTGGGAGAGTTAAACCAGGTAAATCGATAACAAAAAAGGCAGGTTATCCAGAAACATTAATACATCCAGCTGTAGTTTTGTTTTTGTTTTTAAAGATAGTATCTTTAAGTAATCTCTGCAATGTGGGGCTCGAACTCGCAACCCCAAGATCCAGAGGCACTTGTTCCACCCAGTGAGCCAGCCCGGCGCCCTGCATTCAGCTGTATTTTGATATGGAAACTCAAAGGGTTTTCCTTTCCCTTGTTCTTTAATGTGGTAGGGGTACTGGCGCCCATTCCAAAGTGGTGCAAAAGGCAGGGCCCTCCATCCCATAATAACTCCCCCCTTGCTGATCTGGTTTCAGACTCTGCAGAAGCTCTTTGTGGAAAAAAAGCATTTTAAATATATTTTTTAAAAGATTTTATTTATTTATTTGACAGAGAGAGACATAGCGAGAGAGGGAACACAAGCAGGGGCAGTGGGAGAGGGAGAAGCAGGCTTCCCGCCGAGCAGGGAGCCCGA